GCGCCGCCGCGGGCCTTTGAAGGCGGCTGCCAAGGCTTTGTTAGCGCCGGGCGAGGTTTCCTCCCGCGCTGGAGCCCGCAGGTCGCGACAAGTTGCCTGTTCTTAGAAGTCGCGGCGGTGGCTTCGCGGCCGCCCCCTCGGGTGTCCCGGGGCCGGCGCGTGGAGGTGGAGTCAGACCTCGGGGCAAGTGGTTGTCAAAATGTTTTTGTAAGTCTGTCCGTGGCGAACTTCTGAACGTTTGCACCCGGGGAGCGGGGCCGTTGTGCGCGCCGGGGCGGAGGCGGCCGCGCCGAACCGCGGACCCTGCTCGCAGCTGCGCGGGGCTGGAGTGCGGGCTTTCGCCGCGCGACTCCAAGTGTGACTCCGTCCGCGGGTGTGCCTTCGTGTGTGTTTGTGAGCCAGCGAGTGTGCGTGCCTCCCTGTGAGGGAGTAGGTGCCCCAAGTGTGTGTCTCCGTGTGCAGGAGTATGTGCTGCGTGGCTTCTCAGGCTGGGAGGGATAGGCTCTGTCAGCGGTCCCATTTCCCACTCAGCTCAGAGTTTACACACTACTACCAAAAAAAAAAAAAAAGAAAGAAAAGAAGAAGATTCAAGGATTCCCCCGCCTCCTCCGCGATGAACTCTACCTACTGTTCTGTGAACAGATAATTTTTTTTTTAAGTGGGAAGCGTTATTTAGCTTTTGCACTCCCCCTCCCTTTCTCTAATTGCCATGTAGCAGGCATGAGGTTAAAGGATAAGCTAGCCCAGCAAGGATGATGTGCTACAGTATTTATTTATTTTGGAAGGAAGGGTGTAATTAACCCTAAATAACAGCCCTGGTAGCCTGCAGAGGGGAGCCTCCTGGCCCTATCAAAGGCCGACAGAACAGGGAGGGACTGAGGCTGACATGAAGTCACAGATACCGAAACTATGTGCCTGATAATGATATAATTAGGGGATCAGAGATTTCTGACTGCTGCGGACTTCAAAAGCTTTAAAAGAAGCCAGCAGTCTCTCCTGTAGCCATCTTGACTAAAGCAGACATTTTTGTTTAATCACTACATACAGTAACAAGAAAGGGGGGGAAACAGAAGAGCATTGTTCACTGTTTCCAAATACCAGTCCCCTTTCTGGGCCTTTTGCATGCCACAGGAAGAAACTTTATGAAACGACAGAAATATAGTTTTAATACAGTAATACAAAAGTCCATTCAACTTGTTGAAATGTGGCTCCAATTAAAAAAAAAGTTGTTAGAACTTTCGTAGTTACCTGTCAAAATTTTATTAGACTGTTTTAGGTCATTGAAAATCTAGTATTTTAAATAGGCTCTCATAAACATTTTACTCTTTTTCCTTTTCCATTCAATGCTCTTTTTCTGTGCTCAGTCTGAGGCGAATAGGATCAAAATGGACTTTGAATCTGTTTTATTTCTACTTTAAATCTGTCTATGGGATTTGTCAGGCTAGGGATACGTATTCATCACCACGTTAGACTAGTGAGCTTTGTGCAAAAAATCAAGTAAGCTTGGAAAGAGGAGAGAGAACCTCTAAAAAGCAAGGTTCCAACTTGAAGGTCTTCCTGGGGAAGGGACTTCGGCCCAGACCGCGACAGGGACAGGGAGCTCGCCGATTGAGGCTAGAGCGGGACCTCCAGCTTTGGATGGTTAAACTCAGATTGCCAAAGATCTGTGATTAGCTGGCAGGTTTTTTTAGAATGAAAGCATTAGCAGCGTCTGATGAAAACCGAGCATACCATACAGTGGCCTGGAATTGGGACAGATAATTAAATGAGACACCTTACTCAGGGGTTCACATTCACTGAGAGGAGGAGGAAGAAGAAAGGAGAGGGTAGGAAGAGGTCTATAAAACCACAGTCCCTGGTGTTTAATTTCAGAGCAGGGGTTTCAGGAACTACGCAGAACTTCTGATTGGGAAGTTGGGAAGAGGTGTGTGCCTCAGTCCCGTTTACAGTAGCTTTAGTTGTGGTATCTGATAGTGACCAGAGTCCACGGGGTCAGATATGGTATTAGTTATAGGTCTGAGACCCAGATCATTTCAACTAGAGATGGGTGCTAAAAGCCTCAGAGCATGCATTGCAGCAAAATGTTACCAGCGACTTGCAATTCCCCAAATAAGTTTTATAAAGGAAACTTTTAATCACTTCCTGGAGAAAAATTTGAGGTTTCCTTAAGGATTTTTCATTCAACCAGCGGAGGATTTTCAGTTTCAGTGTTTCCCCTTTTAGATCCCATGTTGAATTACATGTAAAACTGGGGAGTTAAGGGGAGGAGAAGTTAGCTTTGCCGTTTTACACCCGCCTCCCCTCCTCACCCACCCCCCTCCCACCCCCAGTTTTATGACTTTCCATTTGGGCTGAAAGAAATTGACTTTGGCAAGCAAACCACTAATTGTAAACTGCCTAGTTCCTGTTTTACAATATACTGACTAAAAGCTCCTCTGCATGAAAAGATCTTTATAGGCAAAGTTTGCCTTTTCTAGAGAGGTTGCAAATAGCTGCCCAGTTTCATAGTTTTAAAACCTCCTGACCGGAGCAATTTCTAGATTGTTGTGTTTCTAGTTAATAACTTTATAAGGTGTTAGCTAAAGCTCTTAAATCTTGGCACAGCCCTTTAAGGTAGTAAACAATTCAGTAGTTCCGATCAAATATTTATACTGACAAAATCAAAAAGCCTAGCATTTTTATGTTGTATGGTCATGTAGGATTAGAATAAACAGTGTAATTTACCTGATGGTAGGAGAAGTTCTTGTGATGATTCTTTTCCTTCAAATCCAGAAGTAATATTTTGAATGACTCGCTAAACTTCTCAGAAATCGCCATTGAGCTTTGATTCTTTGCTGTTGGGGTTAATACGTGTCTAAAATTACATTTCACTGGGTTGAAATTTAAGCACTAGCTTGCACAGAGGGCTCTCCCAAGTCGACCCGGGGCTGCTGTTGCCGGCACTCAGCTGCCCATTCTAAAAGTTAGAGCCTCTGATCCTGAGGTTGAGCAGTTGCCCAGGTAGAGGCTTTATCTGGTCTCGGAAGGCGTTTGACGCAATTTCCCATTGTCTTCAGGTGAAATCAGATGCTACTGTGATGCTGCCCACTGCGTGGCAACTGGCTATATGTGTAAGTCAGAGCTGAGCGCCTGCTTCTCTAGGCTTCTTGATCCTCGGAACACAAACTCCCCGCTCACCCATGGCTGCCTGGATTCTCTCGCAAGCACAGCAGACATTTGCCAAGCCACACAGGCCCGAAACCACTCCGGCACCACCATGCCCACATTGGAATGCTGTCACGAAGATATGTGCAATTACCGAGGGCTGCATGACGTGCTCGCCCCTCCCAAGGGGGAGGCCTCAGGTAGGTAGAAGCCCCCTCTCACCAGGACGCCGGCTGGCAGCCACGACTTTGTATGTCTGCCATTGATTTTGTTGTTAATGTAATTAGAGACACCAGAGGGAGAGGCATGGCTGGATGCAAAGATGCATCTCTATTGAGTAGCTTTTATGTCGGCCTGAGCATGAGATGTCTGTCTGCATAATAGGTTTTGCCTGGTTTTCCCACATTCGGAAGACCCAGAGGACCCTTACTGTTCAGGAACGACAGTCCCTAAACGGACTGTTCTTGGAAGCTGATCTTTGCATCGCTTGGCAACATGTATTTTGTAAATACTGTTGATTTCACCGCAAGCTACTTTCTCACGGGGGGCCTTGTTGCAGATGGATAGATGATCATAAACCCCTGCGGGGGGAGGGCTTACCGCAGTCTGCTCACGCGTTTGTGTTGCTCTAGGACAAGGAAACCGCTATCAGCATGACGGCAGCAGGAACCTCATCACCAAAGTGCAGGAGCTGACTTCCTCCAAAGAGCTGTGGTTCCGGGCGGCCGTGATCGCCGTGCCCATCGCCGGCGGCCTGATTCTGGTGTTGCTGATCATGTTGGCCTTGAGGATGCTCCGAAGTGAGAACAAGAGACTGCAGGATCAGCGGCAGCAGATGCTGTCCCGTTTGCACTACAGCTTCCATGGACACCATTCCAAAAAGGGGCAGGTAGCCAAGCTAGACTTGGAGTGCATGGTGCCGGTAAGCGGCCATGAGAACTGCTGTGTGACCTGTGACAAGATGAGACAAGCGGACCTCAGCAACGAGAAGATCCTCTCACTCGTCCACTGGGGCATGTACAGTGGGCATGGGAAGCTGGAGTTCGTATGACGGGGGCTGACCCCGAACCGAAGTTCATGGGCGCTGGAAAGCTTGGGGTTCTGCTGGACAGGAGCACTTTATCTGAAGAAAAACGAACTCACGGACTCACCTTCGAGAGACAGAATGACCTCTGCAAACAGAATCTTGGATATTTCTTCTGAAGGATTATTTGCACAGACTCTTTAAATACAGTCAAATGTATTATTTGCTTTAAAATGATAAAAAGCAACGAGAAGACTACGTACACACTGTTACCAGGGTTATTTGCATCTGAGCGAGCTGGAATCGAGTACCTAAATAAACTAAAATGTGCTCTGTGTAAGCTCCAACATCTTGATTTATTGTAAAGATTTAAAAATATATATATATATATATATTTTGTCTGAAATTTAGCGGTGTCTTGTCATAAATTAAAAACTAAGTGGGATGCATAAGAAACTACATGTTAATTATATAAATGAAGATCTGTTGTCGTTCATAGTAAGGTCTCAACTGCAGGATTTGGCTTGATTTTTTTTGTTTTTGTTTTGTTTTGTTTTTTGTTTTTAAACAAGACCAAGATCTTGTTTATCCTTACATGCATATTTCTAGTTTTCTTACAATGTGGAGAATTTCTAAGTGTGTCCTGCCCATCGTTCAGTGTCTTACGCACATGTTTTTGTTAGGTGAAAGCTAAAAACCAGGATTATTCTAAGAGAAATCTTAAACTTCTTTATACTAGGTCGGATATGATGGATCAGTGTCTAGAGCTACCTTATGAGCAAAGGTAATACTTCATCAACTTCATCCAGTTGCTCTGAAATGCTTTTTAAAATGTGTCTACCTCCAACCAAAAAAGAAAAACCAAACCAAACCAGCTAAACGCAACTTCCTCTGGTAGTTAAAATTAGTCACTGTCTACTTTTACTGTTGATTAATTTATCAGTTGGCTTTGTCTCAGACCAGATTAAATGTTTTGGATCCCAGATTAGCCAAACTTGATTTTATCATGCTCCTAGTTTTCAAACCTTCCTTCACGCATTTTTTTTTTTCCTTCTCAATGTTTAGAAAGGGTTTCAGTAGTGAAGATTATTTGTATCAACTGAGATTTAAAGAACACTAGGGCCCCCTGCTCCCCACATTGACTTCAGTCACTGATAAACTAAGTAACAGTGTTTTCACTCCTGCAGGACCTTCTGTCTGGCAACACTGCTCAGCCTGAATTTAAACCCATCCTTTTCCCACCAAATAGGTCTTTGTTATCCTAAACGTGAGAAGCATTTGCCATGTAGGATTCTTTTTTTTTTTCCGATTCTTTTGTATATTTGAAACTTCTGCTTAAAAATGAACCTCTAGTCTGCATATTTGAGTATGGGGTTTTCTTTTATGAGTGTTAAAGGATTGTGTGTGTGCATATTTGGGGAATTATTTTATGATAAGCATAATTTGGGTCCCTTAAGACAGATGCAGTCGCCAAGGTCATGGAAGAATCCGAGTCGAAATGATTAGTCTAAAAACGAGTACCTAGATTATTTAATAATTATTAGGCCACAGCCCCGTACAAAGTAGGCTATGGAATAAATACACATTTTAATAAATGACGGCATTCGTATTGTGCTTTTTGAGAATGGCAGTTCTCGTACGCACGGCATACAGTTTATAAAGGGTGTTGAGTTTTAGGTGTGTTGCTTTTTGAGGGAGCCAGAGAATTGTGACCTAACTATCCAAAACCGGCTAGATAAGAAAAGTCACTGAAATTGCCATCTGATGGAGTTTCGACCCTCATCTCCACTTTGAGCTCCAGATCAAATTACAGTGCTTGAAGATTAAAAGACTTCTTGCTCCCTATCCATCCTGCTTTCACGTGCAGCGTCAAGCAAGCGCAGTGATGCCTCAAGATTCTATCAGCTCCATGTTGTTAGTTTTTACCCCTGCTGGCCCTGTTACTCTTATTCACCCCATTTGTTCCAAATACCAGTTAACTAAGAACTCAGCAATTCGTTAAATAAGGCAATGAAGGATTTGAAGTCCGATATTTTAAAGCACTTGGAAACCAGTAAACCCCATCCTCCAGGAAAGGCCTGGGTCTTGGCTGGCCCTGAAATCACGGACATTTCATGGAAGATGAATGCAAAATGCCTCTACTTCCGTGTTCTGTGTTCGCTGCCCTGCCTCTTTCTTGTTTCTTCTGTAAATTCACGTAAATTTACAGACCCCTCCCCCCCCATTCAGGGGGGCGCTGGCGCTGTGCACCTGCCCCCTGCTGGCGGACTGGGTGTCCAGGGTTCCCAAGTGCTAGCCACATAATAGATGGGCTATTCCTACTCCTGTGTCTTTTCCTAATGACAGACCCTTTCCCCTTCATGGGTCATATTCATAGATACTAAATGAGATATTTATTCATTTACTATTTGCACACTGCCCCAGCCGCTAGTCTTTAAAGGCAGATCTGGGCATAACTTGGCCTTTTCTACGAAAATATTGCAGGTCTGTCAACTTTGATTTTTACCAAGAACTAAATATAGGTTCTCCTTTTGCTTTCCTGTGAGAGTGCGGAAGCTGCCAAGAGCAGAGATAAAGGGCCCTTCATGAAATAACTACCTACCTGATTCGGTGATGTAAGTAAGGTGATGACTGCTGTGTTTGTTTTTCCCTCCTGGAGATGTTTACTGTTACTTTGAGGTGACTGGACAAGGCTGGGCTAACCAGGAACAGCCCTTGTTTAATATTGACATAAACCTCCCCCCCACCAGTAAGATTTTTTTTTTCTAAGTGGAAATTTGCCCCAACCAGAGACAAATGGGACCAAATTTGCCATGGTGTTTCTATATCTACACCCCTTCCATTCTATCCCTCTTGAAAAAATTGATCTGTACGTGGTTATGTCTTTTATGTTATCCCCCCCCCACACACACACACCCTTATTTTGAATGGCTCAGAGGCTTCCTAGGAATTGACTGGTGTGTCTCTAATTTCTGCTGGACTGATTTTATTAAAAACACTGCACCATAGGGGGTTTGACCTTCTAAAATACCAAACATGTCTGCTTTAGAAAATCACAAAGCTCTCCTCTGAAGAGCTCGTAAATCTGGTTTCAATATGGGTTGATTATAGGCTAAAAGCTTGAAAGCAGGGGCATCTAGTATCATGAGTCTGGAACTAGCCTTTTTGGGGCCAGGACAGCTTTTTTTCCTTATAACCTCTAATTGGTTCTCTTCTCTGTCTCGGCCCAAATAACGTCAAACCTCCTCCGAAAGTTACATGGTGGGATGAGGCCAAACTCATACAATGGTAGTGGTCAAGTGCACTTTGGAGTCGCACAGCCGAGGTTCCAATGCTGCCTTTGTCTCTGCTAGCTGTGTGAACTTGCGCAAGTTACTTAAGCTCTTTGAATTCTCAGTTTTGTTACCTATAAAATGGGGGCGATGATTATGCTTTATGAGATTATAGTGTGGAGGTATAGTAGCTATTTCTATTAATACACACAAGGGTCTTGGATGAACTAGAGTGGCCCAGCATAATATTCCTCAAAATTTGAGAGCCAGGGCGTGGCGCCTGGGTGGCTCAGTTTGTTAAGTGTCTGCCTTCGACTTGGGTTATGACCCCAGGGTCCTGAGATCGAACCCTGCATTGGGCTCGCTGCTCCACAGAGTGCCTGCTTCTCCCTCTGCCCCTCTCCTCCCCACCCCCCACTCATGCTCTCTCTCTCCCTCTCTTGCCCTCGCTCTCTCTCTCTCATAAATGAATAAAAATCTTAAAAAAATTTTTTTTTTTTAATTTGAGAGCTCGGGCCCATTACTTTTACAGTGGATATTTACTTGACTTTTTCGTATTTCAGATCTTTCATACCTGAGATTTGCAGCCCCTTCAGTGACCTGCAGACTGCATGTAACCTTTTTAATATTTGTTTTTAATGTATTGCTTTTAGCCTCCCATCTACTAATGATACTGGTTTGTCATTGTTTCCTTTTGGAATCGTCTCATGGCTACTAATAGGAACACTTCAGTTTGATGGACCTATTTTGGTTTTTTTTGGTATTTGACAGAATGAAGTGCTAGAGTTTCAGCTGCTCCTGATGGTTAATCCAGTGAGAAAATCACGGGGAGTCCAGTTAGCTGACAGATACTGTTTCAGAATCACTTGACCAGTTTGTGTGCGATTGATACATTCTCAACAAGAGCCACCCACCGTCAATTAGAATTTCCCCTGTAGGTGCTCCCACTAAAATACAAATAGTTCCACAACCGGTTTTTAGGACTGTGTGAACTTTTTCACACGGGGTGGGGGGTGTCTGGTTAGTGACAAATCCATTTAATTCCCCCAGGTGAAGTTAATTTAGTTGGTGACTCTGCAGGTCACAGTTGTAATGGAAAAGGAGCTGCTTCAGAGACCAACTCGCTCTTCGTCTCTCTCTTTCTTCGTTCGGTCCATGTTGTTCTTACTCTGCTGGTTTAAAAAGGCAGGTCATTGATCTAAAAGTTGAGACCCAATGAAATAACAAAATTAAACGCTCTTTCAAAGTTTGACAACTCTTCATTTGGAGTACAGTTTTAGGCTCTGAACATGTCCTAGCTAGTCTGCTCACGTTGCACCGTTTTGTGGTGTGATGGCATAATTCACTTGTCTCCTGTTCTGGAAATTTGGAGATCAACCTGGGGAGGTGGTGGGGCTGAATGTAGCCAGATAGGGATATACTTCTTGCAGGAAGGTGGCAATTTTCCAATGGATCTGCTTTGGAGAGTTTCAAAGTATGTATTATAGGGGGAGGCCTACGAGCCATCTTTCTACAAACTCTCCCCATTCTATGAATATGAAAAGGGATTCCAGGAAAGGCATAGATGAGCAATCTTGGGAGATACTTTGGATAAGCAGCTAGACAATATCTCAAGGCATCTGTCATTCCTCAAGACCTTGTGGAGATTCTTTCCATCTAGTAGCCAGTAGCCAGCTGGCCCCTTGGAGGTCAGATTGTGGTTGGCAGCCTAGATTTTGCAGATTAGATTGATGTTGGATTAACCCAAGCTGAATCCTGAAGAGATGAGTTGATAACTATTTCTCTGTGTGTAAACATACGTACATTCATGGCATGTGTAGGTCTGTGCTGTGCTAGCTGAATAGTCTTTGAAATCCTGGAATAATTTTACAGTGAACAGCTTTCAAGGCAGAGTGTAAGGAGATGTTGGAATTTATGGGAAGTCAGCAATTTGTTTTTAGACATGTGAAGACTGAGGTTAGTTGTGATGAATTAATAAAGTCAGAGGTTGTTGTGTAAATTCACTCTGAAAGATCTCACATTACAAACCTAATGGAACAAAAATTGTTTTAGCAGTTAAAACCAAGAGAAGTACAGAAAGCTCTTTATCCCTGGTCTCTTCCCCTTGGAATTTCCCTAGGGAACTGATGAGGACAGCGGAAAAACACCACACTTCTAAAAGCAGTTTCTTACTTTTCAAGTGTTGGAAGTCCACGCTGAGGCATTTTTTCTTCTTTTTTTACTAAATTTAGTGGATGTGATTTTGATACCCAAGACTTTCATTCACAGTTGCCTTGCAAAATGGGGTATTTCTCACCTGGATTTAGGGATTCAACTGTGAAAACCCAGTGGGGAGGAGTGAGGACCTGTATAGCCTTTGTACTTTGCTGTGATCCAAGGAGAGCAGACAATGAAGGGAAGGGAGACTGAGCCCTCTTGCATTAGGCATCTGAATTCAGGTTGTTGGTAAATAAGCAAATGTCTTCCTCTTTGGTTTTTCCACTCTAAACTATTGTTTTAAAGATTTATAATTTTGTGTGGGAACCCCAAAGGAAAACAAGTTGCCAGTGAAGGGAGTTGAGGAGAAACAATTCAAATGGATCTGAAAATTAATGAAGCATTGCTAAGGTCAAATGCATCCCCACCTTTGAAATCTGGTGCCATCTCCAAGCGAATTTAAGGATACCAATTCTCACCAAGAAGCATTATCATCATTCCCTGTTAAACTAAGAGGTGTACTCTCCTTTTAGCATTGTGAAATATCCAAAGTTTTCATCAAACAGTGTTTCCCTAAGGAATTTAAAAATAAACCACTGAGAGTTTTGTTGGCCCAAAACGTGAAGAACCTAAAATCAGCAGTCTAACTATTTCATCTTTAATTGGCTGGCCCCAGCCACACTGGGGTAACTTGGGGTAACTTTATTCTCCTGGAACTGAACCTCTAACCAGAGGCTATAATAAAAGCAACAAATAGCTTGTTGCATCCTTCATTCGGGGACACACCAAAGGTGAGTTATATATTACGTGCCTCTCTCCACACACGTAGCATCTTTTCTTTTTTTTTAAGATTTTATTTATTTATTTGGCAGAGAGAGAGCACAAGTAGGCAGAGTGGGCAGAAGCAGGCTTCCAGCTGAGCAGAGAGCCCAACATGGGGGTCGATCCAGGACCCTGGGATCATGACTTGAGCTGAAGGCAGAGGTTTAACCAACTGAGTCACCCAGGCGCCCCAACACCCAGCATCTTCATTAAAGGATTACCTTTTACTTCAAAATCCAAATGCTCTTATGCATCCATTTACAGTTGTATAATTGAGACTTAAGGAGTTGTAGGGGCGCCTGGGTGGC